CCGCTCCTCGGTAACGCGCCCGGCACGAGGCAGAGGTGGAAACTGGTTTTTTGTGTTTAATGTCCTTCCAGGTATTTTTCCCCAAGCGGTTTCAGAGTTTCTCTGAGGAATCTCCTCCTTTTGCTTTCTCAGAGTGGCCCATGTTGGCTTCCCCTGGCATCACCAGAGCAGTGCCTCTGTCTCACTGCCAGACTGGGGCTGCCAGAGGGGTCACAGGTATATATTTGAATATACTGTTTGTCAAAATTTAGACAAACAGTATATTCAAATGAGATTTATTTTATAAAGCAGATAAACCACTTAAAGCTCCACCAACACTTGAATACAGGTTTGTGATGTCAAATGGAATTGTTACTGCCCGACTGACTTGAGAATGCCCAAGATTTTAAGACAACTAACCCAGAGTATTTCCTTTGGGCAGTGTCCCAACCAAAGGGCAGAAATTCTGATGGAAGTTTTGCTGCTCCAAGAGGGATGGGCTCCACTGACCTCCACTGGGCCTTGTGGTCAGGTCATGGAATCACACCCTGGTTTTGGAAAGGACCTTAAAGCCCATCCCATTCCACCCCTGCCATGGCAGGGACATCTCCCACTGTCCCAGGCTGCTCCCAGCCCTGTCCAGCCTGGCCTTGGGCACTGCCAGGGATCCAGGGGCAGCCACAGCTGCTCTGGGCACCCTGTGCCAGGGCCTGCCCACCCTGCCAGGGAACAATTCCCAATTTCCAATATCCCATCCAGCCCTGCCCTCTGGCAGTGGGAGCCATTCCCTGGGTCCTGTCCCTCCATCCCTTGTCCCCAGTCCCTCCCCAGCTCTCCTGGAGCCCCTTCAGGTCCTGGCAGGGGCTCTGAGCTCTCCCCAAAGCCTCCTACAGGCTGAACCATCCCAGCTCTCCCAGCCTGGCTCCAGAGCAGAAGGGCTCCAGCTCTCTGTTCTGTCACCCCCCCCCCCCCCCCTGGGGTCTGACCCTCTGTCCCTCCACAGCTGTCACACAGAGGTGACAGGTCAGCCTACCCAGGGACAGTTGGTGCCATGGCTGGCCTTACTGCCTGCTGGGGCAGCTGCTGCTGCCACAGGTATCCTGGAGAAAACCCCTATTCTGGGGCCTCCCCTCACTGCCCACCTGCTCCTGCCCACACTTGCCTCCTGGTGAGCCTCTGCCCCTCCTGGCAGTGTTTTGCAAATGCCCAGGAAGGTCTTTCCAATGCTTCAAAACTGCTCCGTGCTGGCCCAGTCAGAGCTGTCCCAGTGGTCCCCAGCAGTGTCCCCTGTCCCTGACCTCATTGCTGTGCCTCCACAGCTCCTGGTGTGACCTGAGGGCTGCCTCAGGGCACCCCCAAGCCCAGCAGGTTTGCAGAGTGGCCCCTGCCCCCATGGCTGCCCCACCAGGGTCAGCATCCTCAGGGCAGCCATGGGGGCTCCTGTGCTGTGGTTCCTCCCTGCTCTGAGCTGCACCAGGGACACAGCGGGGCTGGATCAGGGGATCTCCCGTGCCAGGTTCATGACAAATCTCACAGTGAGCTCCCAGCGTGGCCTCAATGAATTGTGAGGGCTGTGAGACCCCAACACCCACCCCCACCCTCAGCTTTGCAGCTGTGTAGGATGAGATCTGCCCTGCTTTGGGTCTCACCAAGGGTCCAGAGTCACAACAGACCTCCAGGGTGACCTTTGGGCATGTTGTTCCTCTGTGCCTCAGTTTCCCCTTTCGATGGGGCCCATCAGAACCAAGTCTGTCACCTGCAGACACTTTGGCCAGGTCCACACTGGCAGGGGCAGGTGGGGAAACCGAGTCACAGGGACATGGTGAATATTGTGGCTCTGCTCCCTGTGGGGTCTGGGGGAGGACTCAGCACCAGGGAGGCAAAGGCCCCACAGGAAGGGGGATTTGCCCACACACTGGCCCAGCTTCACTGCTACTGGCCTTGACAGCAAGCCACAGTGGGGCAGCCCAGACCCAGGGACAGGAGCTGATCCTGCCTCGGGACAGGCACCAGGCTGGCCTTTTCCTTGTGGGATTGCAGGACTCAGGCTTGTGGGATCCCTCTGGCTATTCACGTGTTCCCGTGGCACAACAGGGCCCCAGGCAGCTCGGCCAGGGACAAGCCTGGACCCGCAGAGCTATGGCAGGGCCCCAACATCTCTGTCCCCCACACAGGGGCGGGGGACAGTTCCATCTCAACCTGCTGAGTCCTGCTGCCCACGTGGCTGTGCCCTGGGACCTTCCCTGTGAGGGGCTGCCACCCCTGAGGGTGGTGTTCCAAGGCCAGGGGCAGCCCCCAGCCCTGCCACCCACCCCTTCTCTGTTCCTGGGGACCAGGCTTGCCTCCCCTGCCTGAGTGCCACAGCCTGGGAGCCCGGGGTGTCACAGCCTAAAGCAGCAGCACGGCCCCGTGCTCGGGGCAGGTGACAGCAGGACCGCAGCCCTCAGGGGCATCTGCTCCTCTGCCACAGGCTGCCACTGCTCGAGCAGGAGGAGGAGGAGCAGAAGGAGCAGGAGGGGAAGGTAGTGTCCAGAGCCCCATTGCCCTGAGCACGTGACATGGCGCTGGCATCTCCGGTGCGTGGAGACCTGCCCGCGGTGCAGTTGGATCCCGCAGCACCTTCCAGCCTGCAATAGCAGCCTCACACGGGGAGCAGATGGTCCCACTGCCCCTTGCCATGGGGCTTGGGGGACACGGTCCAACCCGTTTGTTCCCTGATCTCGGACTTGTGGTCACTCCAGAGGTCCAGACAGGCGACCTGAATCCATGCAGGTGTCGCCCAGGGCCACAGCTGCACGGACAGAGGGTGGCACTGTAGGGGATGCCCTAAGGGGAGCACACTCCTCCATGCGCGGTCTCGGCATCCCACAGGGATGGGCTCTGGCATCGTTCGGGTGATTGCACCCACGGGCGATTCGGACGGAGCCTGCCCGGTGCTCCGNTCCCATGCTGGCACCCCGCGCCGCCCACCGGCCACCGGCCCTTTCGAAAAGTCACCGGAGAACTGCTCGCCCGACCTGAGCGCTGAGGAGGACGACATGATGATGTGCTCCAATGCCAAGTGCCGGCGCACAGAGACCATGTTCAATGCCTGCCTCTACTTCAAATCGTGCCACAGCTGCTACACCTACTACTGCTCCCGGCACTGCCGGCGCGAGGACTGGGACACGCACAAGGCCAGCTGCGTCTACGGGCGGGTGGGCAGCGTCTGCCGCCACGTCCTGCAGTTCTGCCGCGAGAACACCGAGGTGCACAAGGCCTTCTCACGCATCGCCAAGGTGGGATACCTCTCCCGCGGCCGCGGCGTCCTCTTCCTGGGCTTCCCCAATGCGGGCTCCGCCGAGAACTTTCTCCAGTTTGGGCTGGAGAGCCTGCTGATGTCCCCCACGTACCTGTCCCTGCGGGAGCTGGACAGCTACTCGGACAACCTGGGGGAGTATGCCCAGGAGCTGCGGGAGACAGGCAACCAGTACGACCCCAACGAATGTTTCCTGCTGAATGTAACCGTGGCCGTCACTCAGAAAGTGCCAGAGAGGCCGTCACCGAAGATGCAGGTCCCGACGGTCAGGAAATACGCCAAGGTGGCCTTAGCCTCCTCCAGCCCTGAGAAGAAGATCTTGAAGAAGGAGCGGGACATGGAAACGTTGATCCTGACGCCACCGCCCGGAACGGCGGACATCGACAAGGAGGGGGAGGAGGGCCGGAAGGCACGGGAGGTCTGCTTCATCAACATCCAGCGGGAGCTGCGCATCCGCGGCGTCTTCCTGCGGCACGAGTTCCCCGCTGTCTACGAGCAGCTCTGCGACTTCGTGGAGAGCAACAAGCGCTTCACCCCCACCACCATCTACCCCATCGACAAGAGGACGGGCAAACAGTTCATGTGCATGATTATGGCGGCCTCCGAGCCTCGCACCCTCGACTGGGTGGCCAGCCCCAACCTCCTGGACGACATCATGTGAACGCAGGGCGGGGGCACCCCCTCTGTAGAGACGTGCTGTCCTGTCAGAACCCCCTCGGCTGTTACACCAAGGGGTACCAAGGGGAGGGGGCTGCGGGCAGCCGGCAGTGCTGGGGGGCCGGGCGGTGACGGGAGCACAGCCCCAAGTCTGCCCTGGAGCCCAGAGCCCGGGGAGCCCCTGCAGAGCCCTCTGGCGTGAGCGGTGCTTGGCCAGAGCGGGGGCGTCTCGCACCCCCCCAACCCCTGCTGCAACCCAGAGCCCCTCGGGCCTGCCCCAGGCTCCCCTCAGCACCGAGGGTCCCCGCAGCGGCCATACCCAGCGCCTGGGACTGGGCTGCGCCAGGATCGTGTCCCTGCCGCGCCTGTGTAGCCTGTGCGTGTTACTGCGGGAGCGTCAGGCGCCGGGGGGGCCTGGGATCCCCCGCGGGCTCTGGGCACAGAGCGGGGCAGGGCTGGGGGTCCCGGGGCGGAGCGGCCACGGTGAGGGATCGGCGGGAGGGAGGGGGGGGGCTCTGACCGGGGTCGGAGGTAATCGCCAGTGAGGGGTGACGGTGGCGGGGACCGGGGAAGGCGAGGCAGAGCCGGGGTCGCGGCCAAGACCCGTCACCCGGGGCGCCCGCGCCGCCCTGCCCTGCCCTGCCCGGCCCTGCTCCCCGCTGTCGATCCCATCGCCGGCACCGGCACCGGCGGCAGCCTCCAGCCCCAGAGCCGCTGCCCGGCGGGACCCCGCGCCGGCTGAGGGTGGAGCCTGGCTCTGCGAGCGATGGTTGGACGCCAGGCGGAGGAGGCGGGGACCGGGCGCTGGTTGGTTGGACGCCGGGCGGAGGAGGCGGGAACACGGGCGGGGGCCGGGCGCTGGTTGGTTGGACGCCGGGCGGAGGAGGCGGGCACGGCGCACGGGCGGCAGCGATGGCGGGCTCGGCGCTGTCCCGGGTGCCGGACGTGCAGATCGATGGCGACGGTGTCTTCAAGTACGTGCTGGTGCGGGTGCGCGAGGCCGGCGCGCCCGCCAAGGACGTCGTGCGAGGCCACGCCTGGGCCGAGTACCACGGTGAGGGGCGCCGGGAGCGCGGGGCGGGGCCGTGGCCCGGGAACCGAGGGAAGCGGGCGGGGGCTTGCCGGGCGTCTGGCCCGTCACGGGGCAGCGGCTGAGGCCGGGGGTCCCCGCGCCACCGCCGCTCCCTCCCTGCAGCCGACCTGTTCGAGCGCACCGCGGAGGAGCTGGCGCCGCACGGCCTGAGCTGCGAGTGCCTGGGCGGCGGCCGCATGTCGCACCGCCCTGCAGAGAGGAAGATCCACGTCTACGGGTACTCGGTGGTAAGCGGGGCCGGGGGAACCACGCGGGGACGCGGCATCTCCCTGCGCGGGGTGGGTCCCGCTGACGGCGGCCGAGCTGGAGTCGCGTTCCCTCGGGGGTGGAAGGGGTGAGCGGGGCGGCGCTCCCGGGGCTCCTGCGCGTTCTTCCGAGTGCCCCAGGGAGGGGAGACTGCGCAGAGCCCTTTCGGGTGAGCAGTGCTTGGCCAAAGCAGGAGCACCCCAGGAACCCTCCGGCACCTGCCTGTGGGGCTGCCACACACCCAGAGTCCCCGGAGGAGCCATGGGTACAGTGGCTGTACCCAGCTCTGGGCGCTGCCACGGGAAATTGGGCTGCACAAGAGCCCTGTCTACACTTTGTGTGTCCTGAGGGTGTTCCTGCAGGAGTGTCGGGTGGGTGCCGTAGGGACCTTGTAAGGGTGACTGGAGGCACTCTTGGGGCATCACTGTCATGGTGGGTTCCTGGACACTGACCCCAGCCCAGGACTGTGCTGCAGCACCAGCTGTGCTGGGTGCTGAGTGCAGAGCCCAGCTGGGACCAGGGCAGGTTCTTGGGCCACAGTGCACACAGTTTTCCCAGCTTCAGGGTGGCGTTGTCCTGTTGCCTGAGCGCTACACCAGCCTCTGCTGGAGTCAGGAAGGACTGGCACAGGCTCTGTGGCCTCTCTGCTGCTGAGGTCTGCCAGAGCTGCCCTGGGAATTTGCCAGGCTTCCCTGCAAGTTCTCACCAGCTCTCCTTGAGAACCTTCTTTTCCTTTGCAGGGCTTTGGACGCGCTGACCACGCTGTGACCACAGAGAAGTTGAAGGCAGAGTATCCCGACTATGAGATTACCTGGGCAGATGAAGGGTACTGACTCCTCTGTCTGTGGTGCCAGCCCAGAACTGGCACAGCTGTGTGCAGCACCGGGGTGGTGGCAGCAGGTTCCCCATGCTCGGCTGTGCTCCAGACTCTCCTGATTTTCCTCTGTGTTGAACTTGCCCGTTCTCTGCTGTCAACCGGACTGTCCCCGTGACAGATGCTCCCACCTCCCTGGCATGGCAAAGCTGGTGAAGCCAGTGGTTGCTCTGCCCCAGCTCTCTGGCACCAGGGGCTCATCCACGTGTATCTGTGAGAATTAAAGTCGTTGGAGGAGCACAGCTGCTCTGGTGGCCATGCTCACAGTTTGGCTGCTCCTTCCCATCTCTGGGTTATGCTTGTTGACAGTGGAAGCGACCCCCAGGTTATCCGCCCCTTGAGGGGGGCCTGGCATGGCAGCATGGCATGGGAGCAGGCAGAGTCTGGGGTGGGAACAGAAGGAATTGTGTTGGGATTTGCCTTGGAAAGGGTTGAGGCAGGAGAGAAGAAAGCAATACCCAGGTCTGGGAGAGGGAAGGGCAGGATGGACCTGGGGGAGAGACCAGCCCCATCTCCTGTGAGGAGGGAACTGAGCTGCCTGGGAACATGACTGGGAAGAACATGTCCGTTCCCACTCTGGCAGGTTGTCACACCTTGAGGAAGAGCATCCTCCCTGACTTCATCCCTCCAGCCACCCAGGACCAGCTCAGAATTTCCCAGGGATTCTCCCTGCTTGTGCTTCCAAGCAAGGAGCAGTAGAGGGAGACTGAGGAAAGCTGCTGGAGGCTTCAGTGGCTGGAGAGCTCCAGGGAGATGTGCAGGCTGGGTTGGTTCAGGCTGGGTTGGTTCAATCACTGTCCCACGTGAGGCTGGGGCTGGAGGACCCTCCCAGCCCAGTCCTAGCCCCATTTCATTGTCAGACTCTGACCCTCTGTGCTCCCTGCTGCTGCCTCTGCCTCATGCCTTCAGGGATGTGGGCTCCTTCCTCTGTCCAGAGCCATGCTGGGTCATCTCAACCTGCAGAAGCTCAGCCTGTACCCTGTGTCCAAAGTTCAGCCTGTGCCCACACTCCAAAGGAAGCTCACAATGGGGGGATGAGTTTCACAGGCAAGAACATGGCTCTGCTGTGCCTCATCCTCCATCCTGCAAAGTGGCTCTCCCCTGCGCTGGGGGGAATGTTACCCAGAAGTTACACAGAGTCAGCTGCAAACCTGCAAGTCACTGGTTTGGAACTTGGAGGCACCTCTGGGATGTCCTGTCCATCCACTGGCTTAGCAGAGCCAGCTTTAGTGGGTCCATCGTGGTGGGATTGCTGAGATGTGCTGTGCAGGCTCAGGAGTCCTTGTGAGTTCCTTCCAACACAGGGAGTTCCATGATCCTGTTCTAGAATTAGGCTGCTGGAAGCTGTGACCAGGTGGTGTTTGAGAATCTCCCCGAATTGAACTTCCAGCAGCTTGGCAGTCTGCTCTGGTTTTGACAGTCCTCATAGGAAAAAAAGGGTTTTTCTTTCAAGTGGTATTTGCTGGTTTTGCTTTGTTACTGTCTCAGTCCTTACTGGGACACTCCTGGCTCAAAGGGTTGGCTCTCTGCACCCTCCTGCCAGGGCTTGCCTGGGTGACATTCCACTGCCCCTTCTCCAAGCTGGGCACATTCAGCTCAGCCTCTCCTTGTGGCAGGTGCAGTCCCCTCATCATCATCAGGGAATATCCTTCTGTGGAGATCAAAAAGTCATCTGGACACCTCCTCCAGGGAACTCTTGTGGAGCAGAGGGTGGGATGGGGTGACCTCCTGTTGTGCCATCCATTCTGTACTGTCCTGTGGTCATCATCACTCAATCTGCTCCAGTGTGCCCCCATCTCACAGTGGGAGCACCAGCATCCCCAGTGCCAGGGGAGGGGTCCCATCTCTGAGAGAGGCTCTGCCCATGGCACCCAGGAGAGCAGTGACTACTCTGCCAGTGGCCAGCTTGGTGCTGCCAGGTTTCTGGGCAGGGCTGCTGTTCTCCAGCATGCCTGGACTGGGGAATGTGGGGCTGCTGGTCCTTACTGAGCCTGGCTGGCACTGGGAGAAAGAGCTGAGCCTGTGTTTTACTGCCCCTGATGCAATCCTGCTGCAATCTGCTTTCCAAGGCCGTTGACTCAGTGGAAGGATCTGCTCAAAGGGGCCCCTCTAAGCACGAAGGCTGTGGCAGCAGAGGGGAGAGGGGTCCTGGGGGGTAGCAGCTCCTTCCTCTGCCCAGGTAGGGAAACCAGTGGGGTCAGTAGTTGCCATCACCAGGCAACACTGGTGGTGATCTGTGGAGATCTGGCTACCAAGCTGTGCTTCTTCCAGGCTCATCGGCCCTTGCTGGGGCTCTGCCAAGAATGTTTTACCCCAGGACTGACCTGGTTGTGGCCCTGGAGCTGTGCCCCTTTGTCCCATGGCATTCATGAGCTGGGTGCTGAGATGCTTCTGCCAGCTGGAGCAGAGCAGGCAGGGTGAAGGCTGGCTCCTCCTGATGGCATCTTGGAATCCCCAGGCTCTGGGGGGACCCCAGAGCCCCTTCCAGTGCCTAGAGGGGCTCCAGGAGAGCTGAAGAGGGGCTTTGGACAAGAGCTTGGAGTGACAAGAGGAAACAACTTCCCATTGCCAGAGGGCAGGGTAAGATGGAATATTGGAGATACAGCTGACTCGCAGCTCAGCTGTTCTCCCTGGCCAGAGTGCAGCCCACAGCCAGCCCTGCACCCAAAGTCTCTCCCACTCTCCTTATGCACAGGGACTGGCAGAGCCCCCACATCCCTGGCAAAGGTGCCAGCATCCCCCACAGGGCTGGCAGCATCCCTGGCTCAGCGGGAAGTGCTCTCATCCCTCAGCAAGCCAACGCATTCCCCCGTGCTGTGCCCTGTCCAAGTCACAGTGTCACCCACCGTCCTGGTCTGAGTGGAAAATGGGCTGAAGAGGAGAGGTGCAGGGGGAGAAGCCGAAGGTCTCCACAGGCACGGCTGCAGCTCGCTGCTGAGGTGTCGCCAGTGCTGTGACAGGACCGCGCTGCGCTGTCCCAGCCGTGCCATAAACCCGCTGCCTGGCCGGGGAGCCGATAACAGCGGGGCTGAAGTCCAACGCAGGCAGCTCCAGGGGAGCACATTCCAGCCCGGGGCTCACAGCGTGGCCTCTTCCAGCTCCGTGTTCCCGTCGTGGTGCCCGGGATGGCTGCAGGCGGGCGGGCAATGCTGGCCCTGCTGGTGCTGCTGGGTGAGCTCTGCCGACACGGCTGGGGGTGTGTGGCTGGAGGGAAGGGGCCTTGGTGCTGGCTGCTCCGCTCTGGTCCTGCACGGCACTGGGCCAGCCCACTGGGCTCTGCTGGTGAATGCAGCCCGGGGTTCCCACCGGGAGCGGGTGCCGGAGCCCCCAGCACCAGGCGGGGGATCACCAGCGGCTTTGTTCAGCAAAAACCATCCAGATATTCCTGTTTCTTCCAAAAAGGGGCTGGGACTGGCAGCACGGGTGTGCCATAGCAGAGTCAGTGCCCTGGCAGGCTCTGGCACCCCGAGAATGACGGTGGGAGGTGGCAGTGTGAGAGATGTGGAGTGCCAGGACAGTGCTGGGGCAGGGATCGTCCAGGGGAAAATGCCACTGAGAGCTCAGTACTTGCCCCAGCAGGGTCCCAAACCGAGGTGCTGCAGGTCACACGTGCCCTCCCATCACCTGCTGCGGGCACCACGCCTAGTTCCCTGCGGGTTTTCAGCCCCATTGTCTCTCTTATAGCCAGAACTGTCCTCCCCAGTGGATCCGTGGTCGTCAACAGCTGCAGCAGTGCGGCTGAGCAGCTCTGCAACTTCGTCTGTGACTGCAGCGACTGCTCGGATGAGAACCAGTGTGGTGGGTGCTCAGACTCCCCAGGCCCCCAGACCCACCCTCAGACCCTGCTCCTGGGGTGAGAGCAGGCTGTGTAGGGGGGGTGTTGTGGGTACAGGTCCCTGGGGTGGTGCTGGTGCCCAGGATGAATGCAGGCTCCCCCAGGACTGGTACAGAACTGCGGGCTGGCTGCAGATCCAGAGGGTAGGGGCAGGTCCCTTGTGCAGGTGTCCAGGGTGAACACAGGTGGCCTGGGTGCAGGTGAGACTGCCAGGTGGGTGCAGGATCCCAGGTTGTGTGCAGGTCCCCTGGGCTGGTCACAGGTCCCTGGGTAGGAGCAGCTCCCCAGGATAGGTGCAGTTTCCTGGGATGGGCACAGATCCCCAGGGTGGCCCCAAACCTGCCTTGACCCCTCATCTGCCCACCCTCAGGGTACCTATGGGGCTCAGCAGTGCTGGGCACCCCCTTCACCTGTGACTTTGAGGACAGTGACTGTGGCTGGCAGGACGTGGGCACCTCGACGTATGGATGGGTGCGAGGCCGGGCCAGCCTTGCCAAGTGGGGCATGGGGCCTCATTCAGACCACACCGTGGGCACTGACCTGGGTAAGTGGGAGCTGCTTGGTGAGCAGGCTCTGGGCACCCACAGTACCACTCCACTGGAGCTGGGGTGCCAGAACACCTATCTTTCTAGGGTGCAGGGGAGGGAGCAGACCCTTGGAGGGGCAGGAGTAGTGCTGGCATAGCTCTGGTGCCACCCCAAGGGGTGCAGCCCCTGTTCTGCTTTCTGCCCTCCCCAGGTTGGTTCTTGGTCACCATGTCCCCCCCAGCAAAGACCACGGCCACAGCCTGGCTCAGGTCACCGGAGATGCGGGAAGCAGCTGCCACATGTGAGATCAGAGCCTGGTATCACCTCTCAGGGAGATGTGAGAGCACCCAAGGTGGGCGCAGGCAGCATTGGCTACTAGGCAGTGGGGGGGGATGGGGCCATCTGCCCCTGTGGCAGGGACAGAACCACCGACATCTTGAGATGGGTCCTTGCCACCCTGTTTGCCTCTTCCACGCTCCACACACGGAGCTGGTGGGGCTCCATCCGTTCCTTTGGGTACCCCTGGGTGCCCTGTACCAAGGGCACTTTTGGGCTTCCCTCAGGGCTGAACCAGACAGAGCGGCCGGTGCTGCGCCTGGCCGTGGCACACAGGGATGGGGTGGTGGAGCTGTGGCAGAGCCCTGAGCACAGCAGGGTGGGCTGGCACCCGCTTGTTGCCTACTCCGGACGGATTGTGGAGCAGTTCCAGGTGAGACGGTGTTGGTACCTTGGTACCCAGGCACTGTCCCCATAAGCTGGGACCAGAGGAGCTGGGCAATGTTCCGAGACCTGGCCTGGGGAGCTCATGCCATCCTCATCCTCCCATGACAGCTCATCTTCTCCCTGACACAACCACCCACCTGTGGGGCAGAGGTGGCGCTCGATGACATCATGTTCAGGAACTGTGGCTTACCCGGTGAGTCCCACATCTGCTGGGATGTGAGCTGGGATCTTGGGGGAACTGGCTGGGTGCAAAACCCAGGGGAGCTCTCCCATTGCTCAGTGCTCCCATTGGCTTGGGGCACTGTGCCCTGGCCAGAGCACGAGGTGGGCAGCAAAAACCTGTCCCTTGAGCCCCCCCTAGGAATGATGTGGCAGTGCTCACCACGTCCCCGTGGGAGCAGCCACTGGCTGACATGTGTTCCCCCACGGCAGAGGTCGGGCAGCAGGCCTGCGGGGCCCAGGAGAGGCGCTGCCACCGCGGCTCCTGCCTGGCACAGCGTCGTTTCTGCGACGGCACCGATGACTGCGGGGACAACTCGGATGAGGGCGCGGCGCAGTGCAGTGAGCACCCCTGGTCCCAGGGAGGAGTCCTGTGGATAGGCTGAGGGTCTGCCTCGGTGGGGCAAAGCTGTGCTCTGGGCTGGCAGGGGCCCACTCAGTTCTGCCCTACGCCAGGAGGGCAAAATGACCCTGAGGGTTTGCAGAGGGGTGGCATCAGCCAAACCCATTGCAGGGAGCCACCTGTCCAAGAGAGGGCTGGGAGCTCAGTTTCTGGGTCACCGCTGTCCCTTCTTCTCACAGAGAACTTCACCTGCTGCTCCTTTGACTATGATCTCTGTGGCTGGGAGATGGCAGCCGGGCCCCCAGTGTGGGGCAGGAACACGAGCCTGAACCTGGGCACCTCCTACAGCATTCCCACTCGGGACCACAGCAACAACAGCAGGGCAGGTACGTGACCGGGCACCGGTGCCCCAGGGGAGCCCCATTGCAGGGGGACGTGCCACACGCCAGGGCTCTGCTCAAGGCTGTGCCAGGACAGCGGAGTCCTGCCCCCACGCATCTGCCTGGCTCCACTCAGCCCCAGCATCTCCTGCAGGTTTTTTCCTCCATGTGAGCAGTGACCCCACTGCACAAGCTGGTGGCACAGCTCAGCTCAGCAGCCCCACCTTCCAAGCCACCAACTCCTGTTCTGTGAGTCACAGCTGGGACCTCGTGTCACAGCTCATGTGGACGTGGTGGTGACAGGAGATGGGGTTCCCAACTCTGGGGACCCTCATGCAGGGCTGGGCTGTGGTTGGCCCTTGCTGGGGATGGACATCAGGTTTTTGGGATGGTTTGGTGACATCTCTGGTGCCCATTGCCCACCTGAGCTTCTCACAGCCCCTCTGTGGGATGCAGGGGGCTGTGTGCCCCTGCCCTAAGGGCTCACCCTCCTCCCAATCCCCAGCTCGTACTGTACTGTCACCTCCATGGCTCAGCCACCAGCACCCTCAGCATCTCCTATGTGACCAACTCTACCAAGCACCTGATGAGGGAAAAGACAGGAGACCTGGGCAGCTGCTGGGTGCGGGAGAGAGTGGACTTCAATGTGGCGGATCCCTTCAAGGTGGGCTGCTGCTGGGCTGGGGGGAGCCAGGCTGCTCTGGGGTCTGGGACCACAGCTGTGGACAGGGGCAGCACCACCTCCCAAGCCCACTGTGGCCATGCCAGCCCACACTGTGCACCCCTGTCAGCCACAGCATTGCCCCTGCTCCCACTGATTCCCTTCTTGAGCAAAATGTGAGTCAGTCCATGACAGGTTCTGGCTCCCCCCATCACACGGCTCCCTGGTGTCACCCCAATCCCCCCATATCGTGCAGGACCCCTTGCTGATGTTTCTGATGTGGTGCTTTCCTGCAGGTGCTGATCGAGGGGTTGGCTGGCAGCGGGGGGACCGTGGCTGTCGATGACCTCATCCTGTCTCAGGGCTGTGTGAAGGAGCAGGGTGAGCTGGTGGCCAGTGTCCCTCACTCTGCTCCAGTGCTGGCAGCTCTCCCAGGTGTCTTGCACCCATGGCACCATGCCTAAAGGACAGGCATGGTCTGCCTGTCCCTCTGCTCATCACAGGGACCGTCCTGGGTGCAGGACAGCAAATACTTGCCCTGAGGTGCTGGTATCTTTTTCCTGGGGCTGTAACACTCCATTTTCTGTGTCAAAATGTGTCACACAAGCAGCTCTTACTAGGTCCTGGGTCCCCTTCAGCTGGTGACAACTAAGCTGAGCTGGGACGGGATGGGAAATGGAGAGCCAGGAAGATGCTGGGGACATGGGACAGTGTTTGAAGGGCTGACATTGATGCTGTTGCTGGGCCCTTTCACCACTGCTCTCCATCTGGGCTGTTTCACCATCAGAGAAGCCTCTGGTCACACTGCCGAGCCAGGCCCGTGCCAGCCCCTGCGCAGCAGACGAGGTGGCCTGTGACAGTGGGGGCTGCATTGCTGCAGAGCTGGCCTGCGACTTCGCCCACACCTGTGCTGACGGCTCCGACGAGGAGCGCTGTGGTGAGAGCCCAGGCAGGCACTGCCCCAGCAGGGGAGGGCACCAGGGGCTGGCCTGGCTGGGACATGTGTGTGCTTGCACAGCCCCTGGAACCACAATGGCCTGGCAAGACTGAGCCTGGAGTTTTGGGTTGCCCAGAGCAGCTGTGGCTGCCCCATCCCTGGCAGTGTCCAAGGCTGGTTGGACAGGGCTTGGAGCACCCTGGGATAGTAGAAGGTGTCCCTGCCCATGGCAGAGGGGTGGAATGAGATGAGTTTTAAGGTCCAAACCCAAACCATTCTGAGATTCTGGGATTCTTTGACTTTGCAGGGACAACAAACTTCGAGTCAGGGGCTGGGGGCTGGCACGACGTCAGTGTGGGGCGGCTGCGCTGGGCTCTGCAGAAGGTCACTGAATCTGACATCTTCCTCACAGGTGAGACAGTTCTCACCACCCAGACAATGCTCAGCACCAAAGGAGCCTCCAGAGCAAGGGCTCCCAGGGGGTGCCACTGCACAATGGGGGATGGTGCCCAGGCAGGATGCTGGGCTGGGGGTGCTACCAGTGATGTGAGACCCCAGCCCTCACCTCACAGAGTGTTTCTGTGCTCAGGGACTTTCCTGGCCCTCCAGACAGGAGAAGGACAGATGGTGGGTCCTGCAAAGGCACGATCGCCTCTGCTGGGCCCCTCTGGCCCTGCCTGCACCATGGAGATGAGCTACCACATCCACAGTGACCCCCAAGGTAACCTCCTGCCCACCCCAGGGTGCCCTGCCTGCTTCCTACTCCCAGACCCCCCATGCCTACCTGTCTTTACTGGCTCTCCCAACCCTGCTTTGCCCCATCACATCATCCTGGAGCTGGGGTGTCTGTGTCCCTGTCTGTGTCCCTGCACCCCATGACTGTGGGCTGGTGCCCTGAAGGGCTCCCACAGGGTGGCCAGGGGTTTTGGGTGCCCACAGCCTCTGCACCACCTCTTGTTCCAGGCTTCCTTGCCATCAATGTCGCAGATCACACCACTGGCAGCACCCAGCTGGTCTGGCAGACACAAGGCCGTGGCAGCACAACTAGGGGTCACGTCCGTGTCCCTCTGGGAGAGAGAAGCCGGCCCTTTCAGGTGTGCTGGATGCACAGGGACCAGCCTGGGTGGCTTTCAGTGGGCAATGCCAGTGCTGCCAGGCACCCCAGGCTCATGGCTGCTGCCCCCAGGTCGAGCTGCTGGCACTGGTGGATCTCCAGGGCTCAGCCAGTGTCGGTGTTGACAACGTGACATTCGAGCAGTGCTACCACGACGTGGTGACACCCACAGCTGCAGGTATGGCCAGGAGTGCGTGGGCAGGGAGGGTAACCCCGCACCCTTTCCGTGGGGGCTGCCTGGTGGCTGTCACTCTGTCCAAGAGCAGGACCATGGTGCACAAGGCCGAGGGCCAGGGCCAAGCACATATCCTGCCCTGCCCTGGGATCCCTGCATGGGGTAAACTTGGGGAGTGGGGCAGATGAGCAGGGGGAAAGGGATGTTGGGGAGACCCATTTGCTTTTGTGATGCCTTACTCCTTTCTACTTCTATACTGTCACCTCTCTCCGGCCAGAGCTGTCCTGCAACTTTGAGAGGGGCATGTGTGGCTGGTACCAGGATCTGTCCAGTGACTTCAAATGGGTCCACAGCACAGGGCAGGGACAGGGCTCTGACCACACCACCGGCTCGGGTAAGGGGCTGGTTGCTCTTTGGGGGAACCCAGGACATCCCATAACCTTCCATTCGCAGGGCCAAGGCATGCCTTGGACACTCCCAGCAGCCCCATGCCTGCAGAGCAAGCTCACCTATGGCCGGCTGGGAGCGCCCAGATCTGGGCTGTGGGTGATGCAGAACACTCACACCATGACCCCTCCACCCTGGCTGTCCCCAACATTCAGGCTACTTCTTGTCCGTGGATGCCTCTGTGCCATGGAGCCACGGGCAGCGGGCGCTGCTCCTCAGCTCCCACCAGGAGCCGGCCGCTGCCCTTCGCTGTCTGTCCTTCTGGTACCGCCTGGCGGGCCCACAAATCGGTACGTGCCCCATGGCATCCTGCCAGGGCCGCCCCAGCCTGCCTCGGCTCTGAGGACAGCGGGGTCCCCAAGGGCTGTGGGATGGCTGCCCCCATGCCCCCCTCTGCCCAGGTACCCTGAGCCTCAAGCTGTGGCCAGAGGGAGGAGAGGAGGAGGTGCTGTGGACCCGCCGCGGAACCCAGGGCAGCATCTGGCACCGGGCACGGGCGACACTGCCCTCCACGGGCCAGCGGCGGTACCGGGTGAGGAGCGGCCCCGCGCGCCCCTGGCACCAGCAGGGCACAGCGTGTCTGACACCGCTGCCTGGGGACAGGTGGCTTTCGAGGTGCTGCACGACGGTTTCCTGGGCGACGTGGGGCTGGACGACATCACGCAGACAGCGGGACCCTGTGGGGCCGAGCTCTCCTGCTCCTTCGAGGTGGAGGGCTGTGGGCTGGCAGCCAGTGGAGAGGGCACCTGGCAGCGACAGAGCAACGGCACAGGCACCACCGCCGGCCCTGTGGCCGACCACACCACGGGCACCGCCGCAGGTACGGGGCCGTGGCAGCCCCAGTGCTTCCCTGCTGCTCTGAGTGTCCCCCCTGTTCACCCCTGAGTGTCCTGCCCATACCCCACGCCAGCCTTGCCTGCTCTCCCTGTTCATGCCTGCCCTGCCCTCCCTGCCTTCCCCAGGATGAGAACGCGATACTGCACAGGGCTTCCCAAACCTGGAACTCCCAAAAAGCAGTCTCCAAGCCCCCGGGCTCCCTAATCCTGGGGAGGTTCCCAAGCTGGGGAGACTCCTTGACCTGGGGGGAAAACCCAGCCTCAGTTGTCCCCTAGTGCTCCCCAGCAGGGCTGGGCAGGGGTCACAGCACAGGGGCTCTTCTCTCCTCCAGGCCATTACATGGTGGTGAACACGGGCAGGGTCTCCCTGCCTGCAGGGCACACGGCTGCCCTCACCTCCCAGCCCTACCAGCCCTCAGTGTCTGCCCAGTGCCTGGCCTTCTGGTACCAGCTGAGCCCTGGGACCCCAGGTGAGCACCGCCTGCCCTGAGACCCCTGGGGACACCTCCAGATGTGTGGGGGCCCCACACAGCACAGCCCTGGACCCCTGCTCCATGTTGGGTGCCCTGGGCAGGCTCCCTCAGGGTGTTCGTGGAGCAGAGCAGGGTGAGGAGGAAGGTTCTGAGCGTGAGCACCATGGAAGGGAGCAGCTGGCACCGCAGCCATGTCACCGTCCAGCCCGATGGCGACTGGCAGGTGAGACAGGGCAGAGTGCTGGGGGCAGCTGGAGGTGATGAGGGGTGCATGGAGGCTGCCAGGCTCAGCATGTCCCCCTGCCCAGGTGGTGTTTGAGGCAGTGGGAGCTGGGGGTGACCACGGATACATCGCACTGGATGACCTGCATGTGTCGGAGGGAGCCTGCCCCAAGCCAGGTGAGACCCCACCCCACAGGGGCACTATGGATCAGGGTGGGGGGGATTGGGGAGCATGTAAGCCATGGGGATAGGGACAGACCTGTTCCTGCCCTGAGCCTGGCCCGGCCCAAGGCTGGGGGTGGTGTGTACCACCCAGGTGCTCCATTTCCTGCCAGGTACTACTGGGTGTCTCACAGCCCTGCTTTCCTCCCAGCATCCTGTGACTTCGAGCAGGACACTTGTGGCTGGAGCAGCCCCTTGGACCCCCGCTTGCACAGCTTAGCCTGGGGCTGGAAGAGTGGTGTCACCCTGGCCAAGTACCCTGGCCCTGAGCAGGATCACACCCTGGGTACAAGGAATGGTAGGAAACACCCACCCCTGCCTGGGAACCCTGGCATGGCCGGAGTGAGGAAGAGGAGCTGGGGGTGGATCGGGTCAGTCCAGTCCATGTTGTGAGGCCTGGTCCCACAGCATCCCTGTCCCCTCTTCACCCAGGAGGGGCAGCTCAGCCCAAGGGCAGTGAGGCACAGGGCTGATTTGTGTTCTCCTCCACACCCAGCCTTTGGGGGAAGAGTGGGACAAGTGGGGTGAGACAAGTGGATGCAGGACTGGGGGACACCCTGCGCTCTGTCCCTGCCTGCCCAGGTCATTACATGCACTTTGACACCAGCGTGCTGGGTGCCAGGGGCACCAGTGCCCTGCTGGAGAGCCCACCCCTGCCTGCAGCCACCGACTCCTGCCTGCGCTTCTGGTACCACATGGACATCCCGGAGCACCTCTGTGAGCACTGCAGGGGCAGGGAGGAGGGGCCCAGGGTCCCTGGGACTCCCTGGCTCCATGGGAGTGGGGGCCTCAGTCCTCCCCACCTGTGCACCGCGGCCACTGCTTCAGTTCCAGCTGGGCAGTGGCGATGGCCCATTCCCTCTGGGTGCTGCCGTCCCAGTAGAGGATGGCATGGCTGGGGGGGCTCGGGGCAGCCGGTGATGGCAGGGCTCCTGTGCCCCGTCCTTGCAGCCAGCGGGGAGCTGCGGGTGGCGCTGCGCGGCGCGGGGGGCCAGCGCACGGTGTGGAGCGTGCCGGGGCACCGCGGCCGGGGCTGGCGGGGCGCCGCGGTGCCGGTGCAGAGCCCCGGTGAGTTCCAGGTAAGTGGGGCCACCCTGGGGTGCGGGGTGTCCCCGGGGGTGCAGCAGCCCCCCAGAGCTCACCTTCCCCTGCAGATCAGCTTTGAGATCACCACACGGAGGTGGCCGATGGAGGGGACAGTGGCACTGGATGACATCATGTACAGCGCCAGGGTGGGCTGCCATTCCAGCCCGGAGAGTCCAGTGGAAGGTGCGGGGAAGAGGGGTGTGTGTGGGGGTGTGGGTGTGGGTGTGTGTGGGTGTGCAGTTCTGGCTGTAAAAGGTGAACCCAGAGCTGCCCAGGGTGCTGGGCTGAGGCTGGAGGCAGTTCTCTGGGCAGTGGGTCGAAATGACAGCATTTCCTTGCCCTGCAGAGAAGCCCTCTGGCAGTTTCGTGGCGGAGGTGGCACTCAGTGTGCTCCTGGCCCTCGTCATAGTGGCGCTGGGGGCTGCTGGGGGCTGGTGCTGGCTGAAACAGCAAAGGCTGGCGAGCAGGACACCGACAGAGAACAACAGTTCCCAGGGCTTCGACAACATCACCTTCCGAGATGTAAGGACAGGGTGAAGGACTTGCTTAATTACCCCAGCTGGGCTAAAACAGCGATTTCCTAAAAGCTCAGCAAATGCCAGCAGGCTCTCCCTGACCCCGCATTCCGCCAACGCGACAGGGAGGTGCAAAGGGCTCTGCCTCTTATCTGCTTGTTGACAAACAAGTGACCCTGAGCTGCAGGACTGACCCAAAAGCGCTGCTGCCACCAGAAAGAGCTGAGTGTGCTTCCACCCCCGAGTCTTGTGGGAAGGAGGCCTGGCAAACCTAGCTCATCCTCACTCAGCCAGTGCTCAATTTAGTGCAAGGTGGCTTAAGCAGCAGGGCCCTTGGATGTGCAGCACAGCCTCCAGCCCCATCAAGGTCTCCAGCAGGAGACGTGGAGCCCCCTGGGCACACTGGGGGTTTGGTGCCTCTGCAGGGTCACGGGGCTGGCACGCAGGTTGTCCTCGCTGCAGCCTGGAAGAAATCCTGGTGTTTCACAGCAGACAGTCCACGTTTGTCACCAATTCCCACTCACCTTTCTTTGCAGGACAAGGTCATTATATCTCCACGGGAGGGGGATTGAGTCTTGAAATTAGCAGCCAGCAGCAGGAATTGCCTGCTCCCCCCGGGCAGACCAGCCCTCGACAGAACCCACACTCCATCAGCTGCCTGCTCTCTGCCCTGGCACCAGGAGCCGGCGCCCCGGGGAGCCTGCCCCGCCCAGGGACACACCGCAGCCATCACTACCTCCAAGTGCTCGGGAAAAGCGTTTGTGTTGTTTGTAACATGAAGTTTTGCTCACAAGACACAGCAATGTGCCCGTGCTTTGGCAAGGGGCACGAGTGGGACTTCTCACAGTGGCTGTCCTCATCCAAACAGGGTTCTGGCCATGGAAGGGAGGGTGAAGTGTGGGGTCCTGGCCCCAAGAGCTGGGAAGAACAGTGGGTGCTGCAGAGGGTGTGAGCCACTTCCCATGCCCAGGACAAAGCACAAGAGCTCCCAGGGCACAGAGACCCCAGGGGGAAGAAGCTCAGTGTTTCTGCTGGTTTTGGGGAGGGTGAGTGGTGGGTGCGAGGGCAGGGAGCAGAGGGGGGCATCACACAGCACCCCTGAGGGCAGCAGGCAGCTCCCACTCTGGTGTACGGGTGCCCATCTGCTGCCCACATACCTTGTGAATGCACTCGATAAACATCACTGGGAAACCCAGTGCAGGCTGAGGTGCAGGCTGGACTCAGGGCCTGGACCCCCACTCTGCCGCCAGTGCAGCCGAGCCCAGGACCCCTCCCCTCAGCCCCAGCTTTCACACCTTAACACTGTCAACTCCCAACCCAGCTCCACACACAGCCCAGTTCAGCCCCTGCACAACAAGGAGTATCCTGCTACCCCCTGCCCCAGGTACAGCTGGAGGGACGTGCTGCTTACCCAGACTGTGACCAGAGCCTGCTCCCTCTCACCCAGCTGTGTCCCCCTTAGGTGCTGCTTCAGTCATGCCAAGCACCATCCCCACAGCCCTGTCCTGACTGCAGAAATGAGGGCCCAAGAGAGCTGAGAGCTGGGGAAGGGCAAGGAGGGCTCAGGCTTCAGCTGATGTCTCTGCAGCTGCCTGGATGCGCAGAGCCCCACAGCACTGACTGAAGGCCCAGGCTGCTGGCCAAGCTGCACCATCCCCATGCAGGGAGAGGGGACACAGCCAGGAAGGCTGTGACAGTGCTGGCCCTCATCCCAGGCACCCCAGGTGTCCCTTTAATTACAATCCCAGAAGGAAGAGGTGACGCAGCTCCAGTCACACCCAGCCACAACATTTACTAACAGCTGGTCACATGCAGCAGCTCCCCGGGCAACTGAAGGGTATCAAACTTTATTATAGATCTCTTTAAAACAGGCTGGAAAGAACAAACCAAACTCATTGAGATACAGTGACTGAGTCATCATTTCTGATCAAGCCCCAACTCTCCCAAATTATTTATATATAATATATCTCACCCATCCCCCAAATTGTTTCAATTAAATCCTCACATTTCAGACCACCCTAATTGCCTTAACATCAGCTGCTGCTAACACCACAATGTACATGTTTTCTGGCAAATCAGAGGCAGGGTTTGGGTTTTTTCTTGGGGTTTAGATCCTCAATCTCTGAAAAGGAGCAAGGAAAAACAAACATCAGGAAATTGCTTCTTTAAGGTTGCTTTTTACAGCAGGTACAGATTCAGCAGATTTCCCCCCAAAGCAAGTCTGAAACCCTCTTGTTCAGCTTGGCAATATGCAGAGTGGTTGAGGAGAACCAGATCAGTCTAAGCAAAGGGATTTCGAGGCTTTGTTGTCATTTTCCTTTGGGGCCAGTTTCCAGAGGTTTTCCAATGTCCTTTCCACGCAGTTTGAGGCCTGGAATAAGACAAAGGAGACCACCACCATCAGCACTCAATCACTGACCCAATAACTTTTATTTCCATCAAATTCAGCCTTAAGGAAGAGAATGTCCAGAAAGAGAGCAGGGGAACCAGAGCTCAGGAGAGTCCTACTTTAGTTTCTAGGAGCACCAGACCAATGTCAAACAAAACCAATCAGATGGGATCTGAACCAGCCCAGGAGAGTAAAACCAACACAAAACCCTTCCATAAGTGCAATCAGGTTTCCATGGGTCTCAGCATCTCACAGGTTTTGGGGGCAAGCACACAGGGATGGTCCCCAGGGCACAGCCGCAGGCATGAAGGTGCAGACAAAGATCAAGAGCTCCCAGTTCTGGTTCAGGCAGCAGATCCAGGTTTTATCAGAATATGTCTTAATGGCACCACACCCACGATAAACTCCAGCCAGCAACATTCCTCACAGGAAAAAGGTAAATACTTTCCCCCAAACCATCCCTCCAAGCACTAGCATTATTTCTGAAGTCTCTCTTAACTCACCAATGGCTCTTTCGATCTTGCCCATGACCTGGTTATTGGGGATTGCTCGTCCTGATTCGTAGTCAGCGATAACTTGTGGTTTTTCATTGATTTTCTGAAAAGAGAGGATGAGTCTCAAACACAGCAATGCTCAGCAGCAGCTCCCCAGACTCAAACAGATAAGGAACAGCCTCTCATTATGCCAGGACAGATGACAAAGTGCTGCTCCCAGGCTGACTCCACCCCACTGGCACCTCCCTGAAGTGTCCCAGTGCTGGTGACATCCATCCTGAAGGGACTCTGACCTCCCTCCTTCTCAGGAGGAATAGAACCACCAGGGATTGCTGCTCCTTCAGACATCAGGGAGCTGCTAACACTGCTCAGCCCAGATGGTACAAACCTCTAGGGTTGGTGTGAGCAGCTGGGAGGAAGCAGGGAGCAGCCTCCCACCATCTCAGCAGCCACAGACAGGCTCTGCCTCCAGCCTGGGGCTCAAGGGCTGCACAAACCTCAAAACTTCTCCCACACAACTGAAGCTGCCAGGGCATCAGACACCAGCGACACTGCATTCCTCAAACTCCCAGCCCATGACACCCTCCCACTGCAGCTGCCCATGAGGGAACAGGAAAGGAGCCCACCCTCACCTGGAGGTCTCCACTCACCGTGGCCAAGTCCTTCTGTGTGAGGCCCTTGCTTTGTCGGCCCTGCTGGATCACTTTGCCCACCTCCAGGGACACTCTGTCATGGTGCAGCTCCTCTGTTTCACGATCAAGCTTGGCCGTGTTCTTTGTAATGAAGTGTTGTTTGTTCTGGCCTGCTGCCCCTGTCGTTCGAAGCAAGAATGAAAAAACAATCAAGGACAAACAAAATAAGGCTCAGAGCTGTGCCAAAAAGAATCAAAGGACTCTTTCCAAGCCCTCAGCTGCCCAGGATCCCAGGGTGCTGTCAGGATTTCAACATACCAACATCACCATTGATCTCACCCAATTCTGCCCATCAAGGAACATTACCTTAGCCCTGTTCATAGTGCTGTGCACACTTGGCCATGCAGAGCCCTTCCCTTTCCCTACTTTACACCTAAACTTCCCTATAGACAGGGCAAGTCTTGTTTTTCATTGGGCATTCAATGCTCTAACTTTACTGCAGACACATATTTGTGCTGCAGCACAGAGAGGTCAATACTTGAACTTGAATTGTGCTTGCTCAGTATGAAGCACCCCAAGTTAGTAGCTTTTAAGCAATTTTCTGACATCTTTGATTAGTAGAATCTATTTGTACTTAGCTTTGCTAAAAGACAGCTTCAAAACCATTGTTTTCTCTCATGTTAGATATAGTATTTAAGCTCTAGTTTGAATCCTTTCTCTCACATTAGTCTCTGGCATTCATTGTCCCAATAAAGCTGATTAATCTTCTTCAAGGATCATCTCTCTATTCCCAACCATCAGAATAACCTCCCTGCAGTGAAAGAACCCGGCAATTTACACCAGAGAAGAAACAAGGCATTTTTAACGAGCAGCGCCATAGGAAGATCCGCAGGCATTCAAATTCGCAAAAGAAATAAGCTGCCAAAACGGGAAGCTTAAGTTTTGTGATGACAAAAGCTTTTCCAAGATCTCTGCGGGAACCAGGCAGATCTCCGCCCTGGCAACCAGAGCTAAGGGGCAGCTCCAGGAGCGT